TGGGAGGGTTCTGTAAAGAACCGAGAGGAGTCTTGCCCCAGAGCTGCGTTCCCTGCAGGGCAGCTGGTGATACTGTCTGGAACCTTCCGTTTGCACTTCGGGTGTGTGTAGTTGACATCCACAGAATGAATGTTTGAGTGCCTTCCAAGTGCCAGGACCCAGAGGACCTGCGGAGGGTGAACCAGACAGTTCACGTCCCCTTCCTCACCTGCCGGCCTGTACAAGAGACTCGTGTGTCCTCTGCACACTCAGTTCAACTCTCCCAGTCTCTTCTCAGAAGGAACGGAGAGGGAGCAGGCATTGGGGTGCAGAGAGGCCAATAATCACGTGTTACGTCAAGAAACCTTATTTTTTCTGCTTCCCCAGGCTGCAGACATCTAAGTTGAGTGAAGACATTAAGCTGCTGCTGACAGAGGTGGAGGAGAGGAAGCCCCGCCTGACCATCTCACCCAGTCTCTGGGTGGAGGACATGAGCAGGGTCCGGGGGACAGCCATCTGACGAGGCGCGTCCTGCGGTCACCTTCTCACAAAGGCATCTCCTCGGCCACCACTGGCGTTTCCCCTCCCGGCGCGCCCCGCCCTGTGCCTTGGCATCGCGGCCGTGTGGGCTGCGGTCGCCTGTCCTGCCCTGCAGTGTTGACAAGCACAAATACATTAAATGGCAAACACTTTGGGAAGCATAACTTGATTTTCTTAACAGACGCCTTGAGGGGTAGGTGCGTGGATTGGGAGGAACCACCATCCTCTGACTCTTCTGAGGCAGCATCACTGCTCGAAGGCGTCTCTAGGTTTTAGGATTGATGGTCACCAGGTCTGACTTCTCACCCAGAATGTTCACTTTTAGTTTGTCCAAATTTAGATTTGATCAGTCTCCTGGTCCGATAAAAAAATCTGTCCCCAAGTGTCTCCTTACCCATTAGAGTGTGCCACCCGCTCCAGTGGTTACTTTCAAAATCCAGTATTTTTTTCCCCAAATATATCTACACAGTTTAATTCCATGCTTTCTTTTGCAAGCACACACATACCTCACTGGCATTACTCATCACCGCCTAGTTCTCTGTCATCTCTGCAGTAAGTGACTATTGCCTTCCTGGCCCTGCATAGAATTTTATTTTTGTTGAGTATAATTGCTTTACATTTTCAGTAAACTTTACTCTTTAGGGACATTTTCCATTCACAGCAAAACCGATAGGAAGGTACTGATACTTTCCACGCAGCCCTGACCCTGCACACACCCCTGGTTCATCCAAAGAGGTGACGGTTCCCAGGGGTGATCCAGGCCGGCTGGTGCTGGCCTTGCTCCGCTGCCATTGTTGGAATTGGTAAGCTTGTTCTAAAAATGATGTGAAAAGGCTATATATATATATATAGCCTTGGAGTAGGAGTGGATTCTGTATCCCTGAACTGAACATATATATATATATATGATATCCAAACTAACCTTTAAAAATTAGGTGACTTGTCATAATTAAGGCTCATGTGATGCAGGGTCGCCTCTTCATCTCCCTTGGGAAGTGTCTCCTTAATGTTCCGCCCCATGGGCTAGGTGGGTTTTGGCCTCCTTCTCACTTTTAAAGAATTCTGTTGCTGTCCCTGTCTTATCTGTCACTTTCCACCAGGTCCTGTGTGTAGGTCCCAGAATATTGCTTCTCAAGGTAAATCCTCCAAGTAAAGGGCAGCCTGGCTGTCCAGTGAGGGCGGGGCGCAGTTCTGTCTGGGTGACGCGGGCAGCGCGTCATGATCGCCCGTGGGGGCACGTGGACGCTAGCGAGGCTCCCGCATGCACAAGTGGGACCAGTGAGCTTTAAAGGGGACAGACTGCAGGCCTGAAAGAGCTGAGGGTGCCGTGTCGTAAGAATTGTGGTGCTTAAGTCAAGGGAGAGGCCAGATTCCAGACCAAGTGGAGAGGCTCCCACCATAGGTGTCAGCCGGGTTCTGGAAACACGAGAGCACGGAGGAAAATGTCCGGTGGGAAATACTGTTCATAGTCGAGTCGTGTGAAACGGACCTGGGACCCGACCTCCAGTTCGCGCCCCACCACAGATTATAGCTCTGACTTTGAACTTCCCCAAGGAACTTGGAAACTCTGTGCCCTCTGCTCATCTGCTGTGCAGACCTGCTCAGTAATTGGCAGGAGCTGCCACTGATCTCAGGAGTGGACGAGGGTGAATAGCCCTGGGGGTCAGATTTGCTCCTCACTGGGGACGCCCCAGAGCCTCCGTGCAGAAGTGTCACCTGTCCTACAGATGACATGACAATGGCTCCTCTGTGGGGAGATGAGATCCAGGGACCCTGCCCCTATAACTGTGGCCCATCCTGGGTGGCACTTCCCTGCACAGAGCTATGGGGTCAACACCACACAGGTGAGTGCTTCCTTGTGTTCAACCTCGGCAGAAAACAGGAGAGAAGGGCTCTCCCACAGGAAGGGAGCTCAGGACTGGGGCTGTGAGGTGTCACTGGGCAGGACAAGAGCCTTGCTCTGCACAGTCTCCTTCATGCCCTGGGTGGGCTGGGCGTGGTGCGGGGCGTGTGCAGGGCAGGACCACCGTGGTGAGACTCAGAGCAAATTGTTGCATCCTTGTGTCCCTGAAAATGGGAGAAGAAAGGCCAGGAATGGGGTTCTGTGTGGAATCTGAGCCATGCCTTGTATGAGAAGAGCCACTGAGCAGCCCAGCCACATACAAAACTCCCTGCTTATTTCCTCAGCCCTATAGATGTTTAGGCTTGCCTGTGACTACACAGGGACAATTGATGTGCAGAGTCTGGGTTATACCTTCAAACTCGTGACACATCAAATACGGTGCATTGACAGACACTTCCGTGTACAAACAGGTATCCACAGGGAAACACATTCGGTGGTATCACAAAATTGTGATCTATTTTTTTCCTCCCTGAAATCCTACTGCAAGAGGATGCAGTTGTGTCAGTATTCCCGCAGAGAATTCACAGGTAATTTCCCTCTGTGTGTTCTGTACTGTGTGCGAGAGATAGCAGTGCTGTGTGTGTGTTTGGCAACAAGAGGAGACAGAAAAATATTTGAGAAAAATTCTGTTAAATTTCAAGTCTCAGGATTAATTACACTGGTATTCTTTTAAAAAAAAAACATTTTTGGTGGGTGGATAATTAGGTTTATTTATTTTTCAGAGGAGGGACCGGGGGTTGAACCCAGGACCTCGCACGTACTGAGCAGTCACTCTACCACTTGAGCTGTATTCCCCACACCTGACCTGGTCTTTCCCTGTTACATTTTAATATCCTCCCCTCACATCCCTGGTACTGATGGATAATCACAGCAAACATTTACTCTAGGTTTTACGGCTACTACCACAGGTAGAAATGCCGTATGGAAACGAACTTTGTTCCAGCCACTGTGATCAACAATTGATGTGAAAAGCGCATTTTGTGTTCACGCCAGCCTTCCTCCCTGTGCTCTGTGTTCATGCCTACTTCACTTTTTCTGAGGAAAGAGAGACGGGGGGTGATAAGTAAAATTCCCTCAGTGGGACCAAGCTGACAAGCGGGTAAATCTCAACACAAAACAAGCTGTCTGGTCAGAGGCTGGAACTTGACAACCTGTGCAAGGTTTCCACCTGCTGTCCTATAACCATCCCATGTGACAAACAGGGAGCAAGGCTTTGAGACTCCAGGGTGTTCTGATGTTGCCGCCAGTGAATGAGGAATTGAGGAGAAGCTCTGGTGAAGCCCAGGCTGATGGTTAGAAGCTGTTCACTGTGCCTCTTCCTGCGTTGTCTGCATAGATTCTCACAAGATAAACCCAGTTTCCCTGAAAAGGAAGGAATTTGGGTAACTCTGGGAATTTGTTTCAAATTCTTCTCGCTTCCTTTACATAACGATGGCTTCTGAACCCAACAGGAGTAATACCAAATACTGTTTCTGGGACGAGTTGCTCTTTTAATCAAATACATCAACCTTTGTGTCCAATCTGAGGGAAATGTTATTTACCTGTAAGGGCTCAGATCAGACTGTCACATGACGCTGTTTGTGCTATGGGTGACTTTGAGCTCAGGGCTTCACCCTGACACTGGTTTGTAAAAATCCAGATCAAAGGGAAAAATCAGACAAGACACAAGAACACAGAAGTTGATGAAACGTAAAATAATCTGCTCATAATGTTTATGTTTCGATGTGGACAGTGAGGTTGCTCAGAAAAAGCTGCTGAAACCTGACTTCTCCGGTTAAGTCTGTGGAATTAATAATAATTAAACGTCCTTGGCCAACGAGCTTTTCTATTCCACATGGAATAGCTGAGAGCATCTTACGGTCACGCCAAACATTCAGAAGGCTATGATCTGTTGGGCGGTATTTGTCATCAGTCACTCTGATGAACGATGCTGAGGGTTCTCAAACGCTGATGGCTAATTGTCTGGCAGTTTTAATGAGTTAGGCGGCCTCATGCTCCACACCTTAGTTTGTATGTTTGATTCATTGCTGTTTTTAATGCATTATGGATGCTCTGTGAATGCTCACCGTGACTTCTAAGGGAGGCACGGTGTCCCTGTCTCCCTCACTTACTCATTCGCTCAGTACATATTATTTAACACTTATTAGCGGTCATTCATATTTTTGAACAAGACAGGCACAGTTCCTAAGCTCAAGCTACCTTACATTCCGGTAAGGAGTCTGATTAGAAAATTAAGTAAAACCAGGCTCGGGGAAGATGGTTCTCTAGCTCCTTGGTCTGCCATCTTCTCGGTCTGCTGGCTTTCCAAATAAAGTCATTATTCCTTGCGCATCACCCTCAAAGCAAGTAAGTAAAACTAAATACAAAATAGTGTGAAATGTGGTTGGTGTCCGTGACGTGTTCTCCAGATTGAGCCCCTGCTGTGGAATGTGACAGTGTCTCCCTCTTCGGGAGAAGAAAAGGCCCAGGACCCTTGTTTGAGATCCTGTCACCAGGAGGAGGCTTCATGCCTGGACGGGCAGAGCCTGCTCCTCCCTGCAGTGACTCGGAAGCCCTCTCCACGTCTGGTCAGAGCAATGCCCTGCGAGCCCCGTGGGAAATGGCTCTGAAAACCATCTTTGTTCTCCAGGTGGGGGTTGCAGCTCTGGCCAATGTCATTCTCCTTTTCCATTACGTCTCTCCAATCTTGCTTGGACAGAACCAGAAACCCACACATATGATTCTCAGCCACTTGGCCCTGGCCAATCTCCTGGTACTTTTTTCTGCTGGGATTCCCCACATGGTGGCGGCTTTTGTTCTGAGGAAGCCCCTGTCCAGTCTTGGGTGTAAGCTTGTCTATTTCATCCGCCTCTTGGCTCACAGCACCAGCCTGTGCTCCACCTGTGTCCTGAGCACCTATCAACTTGTCACTCTCATCCCCAGGACAGTGGAGTGGATGGTGCTCAGAGGAAGAGCCCCTAAATTCGTTGGTCCTTCCTGTTGCACCTGCTGGATGATCAGTGTCTTAATGAATGTCTATATTCCTGTGACAGTCACGGGTCCACAGAAGACAGGAAATGACACTGACACCCATTGGTTCTGTTCAGTCTCAAGTCCCAGTGCAGGCGCTGTCATCCTGTGGTCATTTCCTGATGCCATGTTTATTGGCCTCACGGTCTGGTCCAGTGGCTCCATGGTGCTTCTCCTGCACAGACACCACCAGAGAGTGCAGTACATTCACACCCCCACTGGCCACCACAGATGTCCCCCTGAGACCAGAGCTGCCCACACCATCCTGCTGCTGGTGGTCATTTTTGTCATCTTCTATGTGCCAAGTTCTGTTTTTACTTTTTATATGGCTGCATTTTTAGATTCTCGTCTCTGGTTAATGCAGACCTCTGATGTGTTGGTTTCTTGTTTTCCCACTGTTTCCCCCTTTCTGCTGCTCCTTAGGGATCCTAGACCCCCTAGGTTCTGGTCTTTTGTTGTCAGAGATCATGGTTGAAGTGCTAAAGGTGTAGAAGTCAGCTTCAGCACAACCTTAATCACTCTGCTCTTTCACTACATTTCTACATGACTCTGCATCTTTGTTTCTCTCCTCTGTCTCCGGGATGTTGCAGTGCTACGTTGTGGTACAGAAAGTCTCCGCTGTTCACTGGCTTGCTTCCTATTTGAACCTTGCAGAGTTTTCTCACATGACTGACCTGCAGTGAAGTTTATGGATTGCATGGATGCAGTAATGTGACAGGGGGAAAAGAAGCTGCCATTTTTACATTTTCACTTGAATATTTAGTTTTCATATTGAAAAAGAGAAATGGGGATTAAATTTTCTCTTGGTCCTGTTTGCTTTTTTCTCTTTGTGTTTACTTTTGCCTTCTTGTGGCACAGTTTGGAATTTTTATTTATTTATTATTAAAGTATAGTTGATTTACAATGTTATATTACTTTCAGGTGTGCAACAGTGATTTGATATGTTTGTAGATTTTGCTCCATTTAACATTATTGTAAAATACTGGCTATAGTCTATGTGCTGTGCATTATGTTCTTGTATCTTACCTATTTTACACCTAGTAGTTTGTACCTCTTGGTCTCCTTCCACTATTTGGCTCCCCTCCACCCACCAACCAGTAACCATTAGGGTTCTTTTGTAGTTAAATGGGGAAGAAACTAGTTTGTCATCTTTATCTGTGAGTCTGTTTCTGCTTTGTTATATTCATCTGATTCGTTTTTCAGATTCCACATATAAGTGATAACATAACAGTATTTGCCTTTCTCTACTTGACTTATTTCTCTAAGGACAATACCCTGCAAGCACATATATGTTGTGGCAAATGGCAACATTTTATTCTTTTTATGGCTGAGTAATATTCTATCATATATTTTGTATATGCTAAATGTGTCTGACATATTCTTTATCCATTCTTCTGTTGAAGGACACTTAGGTTGCTTCCATGTCTGGGCTATTATGAATAATACTGCTATAAACATTGGGGTGCCTGTATACTTTTGCAGTAGTGTTTTCATTTTTTCTGAATGTGCACCCAGGAGTGGGATTGCTGGGTCATATGGTAAGTCTAGTTTTAGTTTTTTTGAGATATCTCCATGCTGTTTTCCACAGTGGTTGCACCAACTTACATTCTCACCAACAGTGTACGAGGTTCCCTTTTCTCCACACCCTTCCCGGCATTTGTTACTTGTAAACTTTTTGATGACGGCCATCCTGAATTTGTGAGATGACAGCTTGCTGTGGTTTGATTTGCATTTCCATGGTGATCAGTGATGTGGACCATCTGTATGTGTTCTTTGGAAAAATGTCTGTTCAGTTCTTCTGCCTGTTTTTCAGTGAGAGTGTTTGGGTTTTTCTGTTTTTTGTCTTTGCTATTGCAGTATATCAGTTCCTTGCATTTCTTGGCTACTTTCCCCTTCTCACATATGTAGCTTGCCAACACTGTCTCCCATTCCGAAGGTTGTCTTTTCAGTTTGTGATGGTTTCCTTCCCTTTGCAGCTTTTTTGCTGATGGAATCCCACCTGTTGGTTTTTGCTTTTGTTGCTTTGGCTTTGGGTGTGAGAGATTTGAGTAATCACCTCAAGACCTGTGCCAAGGGGATGACCATCTATGTGCTCCTCTAGCAGTTTTATGGTTTTAAGTCTGTCACTCAAGCCTTTTATCTGTTTTGCGTTCATTCCGTTTGTGGTGCTTTCTTCTGCACGCGGCTCTCCAGTTTTCTCACCGCCATTTATTGAAGACTCTACTATTTTCCCACTGTATGTTCTTGTAGAACTATTTCTCTTTGGTTTGCTTTTGTTTCCATTTGTTTGCTTGTTTCAGTAGGACAAAAAAAAAAAAATGCTGGGACTCAAAATACAAATATGCGTCTGAGCTATTTCAAAGACTGGATCCCCAGGGCGGGGGGTGACCCCTGTACCTGTGAACATTCAGGCAGTGATTCGGTCAGATGTTCTCTCACTGATCTTGAGCCAGCAAGGCTTCCAGTCTCAGCCCCCTGAGCCCCGCGTGTCCTGAGGGACACATTCCAAGTGCGTCACATTTGCAGGCATGCCCAGGCTTCCCACTTTTGCTGGGGTCTCCACATGCATGTGTTGTATTGTGGTCAGCCAGCGACAGTTGGAAAGTTAATTATTTCAGCCTCGGCTCCCTCACAACAGTGATGTCCCAGGGAGCAGAATTGAGGGAGGGAGGCCAGACCGAGCCTTCCCTCCCTGTCCTCTGTGGTGCAGGAGGAAGGGGTTGTTGTGGGATGAGGCGCCCAGGGGCCCCTGGGTGGAAAGCCGAGTCTCACGTCAAGGGGAGAGAGGGAGGTGGTCGGCCCCACAGGATGTGAGAGAGGGCGAGTGTGCGCTGAGGAATCATAGACTAAGAATGCGTGTGGGGCAGGAAGGAAGGATGAGAAGGAGACAGAGAGTGAGTGAGTGAGAGAATGCTTTTCCATGAACAGTGGTTGACTTCCTTGGCCAGGGCTGTCATAGCAAGCGCACTAGACCAGGTGGTGTGAACAGAAACTCACTTCTCACAGTTCTGGGGGCCAGAAGCCCAGGATCAAGGTATTTGCAGGTTGGGTTTCTCCTAAAGCCTCCCTCCTTGGCTCTGCAGGTGGCCACCTTCCCTGTGTCCTCACACGGTCACCCTTTCAGTGTACATTCTTCGTGCCTAAGACCTAATCAGCTCTCATGTCTGTCGTGGAAGAGAAAAGGGGACTGGGGGAAGAAGACTGTGTGAAAGCACGTGTACTTGTGTGTGTGTGTGCACACGCACGTGCTGGTCTGGGAGGCAGAGTGGGTGTGAGAATGTGACTGAGACCATGAGTAACACTGTGATGTGTGTGTGAGAGGGAGTGTGTCTCTCCCTGAGGGGGAGAAAGGTGGAGACAGATGAATTGCACTTTTGAGGAACTGAATTCCTTTGTTCCATAGTCTCTGTGTCACCAAGAAAGAGCAGGTGCACTAGAAGGGATCCCAGCCATTCCCATCAGAACCAGCTTGCTCCAACCCCACTGGAAACACCAGCCCTGATTCACCGTCCTCAAGTTCTGGCACCATCTGCCAGACCAGACCCCCCAAAACTTGAGGGATGATGTTTCCACCTTCCTTCGATCCCTGTCCAATACAACAGGCACGAGCACGTGGAGATGCTTACACTTAAGTTAATTAAAATAGAGTAAGATTGCAGAACACTTGGAACCATGATCAGAAAGTATAAAGAAGGACAAACATCATAGCACCTATAATCGTCCTGCAAAGATAACCACCAGTTTGACACTGACAGAAACAAATATGATACATTTTGGCTGCTCCCAAATTTTTGCGATTAAAGGTTTTGTTGTAATGTGTGGACCCTGATTGGATCCTGATTTGAAGTAACCCCAAAAAGGCCTTTTTGAGACAATCAGAAAAATCTAAAATTGGATTGGATATTAAGATGACAATGAAAAATTATTAATTTTGTTAGGTGTAAAATGGCATTTACTTACATTATGAAAATGCCTGTATGTTTTAGGGTTGTATATCAAAGAACATTTTTGAGGTCTGGCATTTGTTTTTAAATACACTAGTAACAGAAACTAAAAAAAAAAAATCAGCAAGTGTGGTTACATTGTAACAGCTATTGGATCTGGAAGATGTTACAATGGTGGGTCACTATATTATTATGTTATTTTTTCTACTTTTGTGATGCCTGAAATTTTTAAATAAAATTTTTCAATGCTGTGATAAAAATTGAGTAACTTTAAAATTTAGCTCCTCATTTGCACTGGAATCACTTCGAGTGCTCAGTAGAGATGTCTGTAGTGGCATGCCGCCTTTTATTTTTTAATTGTAGTAGAATTTACAATGTTGTCTTAGTTTCAGGTGTACAGCATAGTGATTCAGGCATACATGTATGTATGTATTCCTTTTCATATTCTTTTTCATTATAGGTTTTTACAAGCCATTTCATCGTCTCACAAAGTTCTATTGGACATCCAAGCCAGAGATAGTTAATTCCCTATTTTTTTTTTTAAAAAAGGATACCCACCTGCCCCTCCCTCCCCATTCATACACAAACAAACTTCAAAACAAGTGCCCTGGAAAACTTGCACCAGCACCAGAGTGGAATCCCAGTGGTTGGAATATCTCTCCCTCTTCAACACCCAAAGACAAAGATGTCCAGGGCACAAACACAGACGTGAGCACAACCTCTTCTTCTAGATCTGGTCCTGAGCTGCCCTCTTAGCTATGTGAAGACACGGGGCCCAGGGTAATATTTGCTATTTAAACAGTGGTAGGGGGGAGGAATGGAGTAAACATGGCTTGGATGTGTGAATCAGAGCAGGTTCCAAACCACTTCCACCAGGTGGCAATTTTAATGATTCTGTTCTATTCATGCTCTCACATGGTTAGTATTTTCCTTAACGTGCTTAGAGTTAATGATGCCTGTTTAGTTTCGCCTGTGCAGTTAGCGTGAGAAGATTTGAGGTGGTCAGTTGGAACAATTCAAAAGGCAACACAGAAGTGACTGCAAGTCCTCATGTGAGCCCCCCCACTGCTGTCCCCCTGCTGTTTATTCCCCTTTGAATGTATTCGGTTCACTGTTGCTATAACCCCTCCCATTAAGGCTTACAACTCTGTGTCTTAACAGTCGCACCAAACTGTTCCTCGTGAGATTATAATTATTATTTTAAAATTCTTCAGGGGAAAGGGCTGTGAGAGGGGATGTAGATAAAACTAGACTTTTATGAGGTAAATGATGGTTGAGAGTGAGGTGGGAAGCCCCATTAAAAAGACCAGCAGAACCCCCCCCTCAGGGCCACTACTCTCCTGCCAGCACCATCTGGTTCCCTGGCCAGTGGCTTCATCTCACTTTTGGCCTCTGAACCAGCTAACTTCTAGGAAAGCAGCGCTTATGCCCCAAATTCTATTGGTTCCCTGAGCTAACGCCTGATTTGTCCATTTGGTGCTTCATTTGCATGGAGCTCACTCCTGATTGGTTATTTCTCTCCCTCCTGATT